ACCAGATTTACTGGCCTAAAGGAGACTGGAGAAACTCCAAGAGTATGGCCCCCAGACACCCTTTTAGCTCAGTGGTGAAGTCATTTCCGAGGTTCACCGTTCAGCCGGGGAGTGGACAGCCCCATAAAACCAAATGGGACTAACGAGGTACAGCAGTCCAGGGACAAGTGCCAGAAGGCAGAAGGGAACAGGAAAGCTGGTGATAGGGAACCCACGGTTGAGTGAGGATAGTGTTGCTGTGTTGTGAGGTTGTTAACCATTGTCATAGGGCAACATGTGTACTAACTGTTAAATGAGAAACTATTCTGTTCTGTAAGCCTTCATCTAAAGTGAGAATAGCAGCACAATTGGAAGAGCGTAGTCAATGTCACCGAACTGTGCATGTAGAAATTTTTGAAATGGTGTATCTTTGGCTATGTGTATTTTCACCAAAAAGAAAAAAAGTCGAGAAGGGAGAGGGTTGGCATGTTGTGGGGTTGTTAACCAGAGTCATAAAACAATATGTGTACTACTGTTTCATGAGAAACTATTTGCTATAAGCCTTCACCTGAAGTACAATAAAAAAAAAAAAAAAGGAGCTGGGTGGATGTAAGTCGTGAGTGATGATTAGCTCAATGACACTGTTTTCACGTCCACCACCACCCTATGCCACCAAGAGCTGGCAGAAATTAACCTGTTAAGTGCCCATACAAAGTATGCAAAGGCAATAAAAATTTGTTCTAAGAGTTCTTCGTTGCCTAAGGAAGGACATCTCTCTGAGGCATTTTAGCCCCTTGATTTACTCTTGACATTCCATACATATAAGCATGTACAATTTTATTGGGGAGGAAGAATCAGGAAAACAGAATGTAAAGTCTTGCTTTCAGAATTATGTAATTTGTAATTCTAGCTAATAAGTAAATTACACCAAGGCATTAAAAAAAAAAAGGAGCAAAATATATATATATATTGTTATTTTGTGTTTCACTTTTAGACCTTTAACTTGGCTAGATTTTATAGTTGCATATGGTGGGAAGTAAGGGTCTAATTTTGTTTGTTTCCAAATAACTAGCATTTATCCCAGCACCATTTATTAAACATTTAGACCTGATTTTAAATTTTCATCCCCGGAACTTACTTGCTGGATGACCTTGGGCAACTGGTAAGCATTTGACAGAGCTGACCACTTCCTTCTCCTTGAAATGCTCACTTCCCATAGCTCCTGTGACATAAGACTGTCCTGGTGTTCCTTCTGCTTCTCTGGCGGATATTTTTTTCTCCGTTTCACACTCATTCTTCCCTCCCTGGCCATTGTACCACACTTTTTCTCCCAGGTGATCTTATCCGCTAATGGCTTTGGCCGCCACTGGAATGCAGATGACTCCCAGGTTTCTGTGTCCAGCCTGGAGCTCTCATCTGAGCCCTGGATCCATGTATCCAACTGCCTCCTTGACATCTCCATTTGGCTGTCCACAGGCACCTCCAAATCAAGATTTCCAAAATGACTTATGGCTTTCTTCTCCAAAAGTGGCCCCATTTCCTTTCAGGTGTCAATGTCTAAGGGAATGGTATCCCCATTGTCCGATTACAAAAGGCCATAAATCTGAGCGCCATCGTTGGCCAATCCCTATCCCTCCATTCCGATACCCAAAACAGTTCCTAGCACTTAACAGGTACTCAATAAATAGTTATCAACCCACGTACATTGCTGGCGGGAATGGGAAATGATACAGCCACTGTGGAAGAGTTTTGGTGGTTCCTCAAAAAGTTAAACATAGAATTAGGATATGATCCATCAATTGCAATTTACACACCCAAAAGACTTGAAAGCAGGAATGAAAATGGAAACTTGTACACCGATGTTCGTTGCAGCACTATACACAATAGGTAAATGGTGGAAACAACCCAAGTGTCCGTCAACAGATGAATAGATAAACAAAACATGACATACACATATAATGGAATATCACTCAACCATAAAGAAAAACGAACGTTAGAATGGATTTATCATGTTAGACCCAGCCACCCTGGAAGTGTCCAGAGGACAGACCTCTCACCACAACTGGGAGGAATAAATTTGAGAGGGGAGTCTTCTCATCCTTGAGGAGCTCTACGATTCCTCTTCTTTATAGGTCAGATATTACAGTGGGAACTGCTGCCACTGAATTTGGAAACCTAAATGCAATGAGGGTGATTGGATCCTGGGGTGGCAGGGGCCAAGTGGCAGCACTTAATCGCCAAAGACAAGGTGGGCAAGGTTACCATAATGGACAGCAGACTCAAAGCAGTAATCTGAAAGTCTCTGGCAATGGATAGCCGATCATGGTATCCCTAAGAGTGAAACAGATGAGGAGTTACTAAGTTCTTACTTGATCTGTATAAGCAGAAGAACTCTAGGTCAAATGAACATAAGTCTGACTTGAATCACCAAAGTAGAATCACGGTCCCTCAATTAATTCCCAAACTTGAGCCAGTTTACAGACCAACAACCCAGTGGTGTCACTAGGGGGGTCAGGGAGTGCAGATCACACTGGGTGACACTGTCAGAGGAGGTGACACAAAAATGACTGTCCATAAAATTTTCCTGCAGTGTTTCAGCAGAAATTTATTATTTTTTATAAAAATATCACTGTAGTTAGTTATAACAACAAAAACTTTTTTTTGTAAGCCCAGCTTCTATGTATTAATATAGCTACAAGCCTAAAACTCCATACTAATTTACATTCTGAGCCTTCTAATGCGCTGAATCAGGCTGAGACTTAATGTAGTGGCAAGAACACACCATAAGTGGTTTCCTGTTCTTCTGTTTTAGGCGCGTAACATTTGGCTGTCACTGAATTTGCCAGGTTGGCCACCACTGATAGTCATATCTTACACCCCTTCATTCATTAGGGTTGCAAAGCTGTGGTCAAGTAATGCTACTTTTTTCCCTACCTTTATTACTTGGAATACTTTTATGAAGAAACACTTCTCCTGCTAAGTTAATTGTATGCCCTCAGGTACAATTATTATGGGAATGGCAGGAAAAATGCTTGATTCTTTCTCTCTTTTATTTTTTTTTAAACCAGTTTTCATAATAGTGACCTGGTCCCCAAACAGATTTAGGATGCAATCCTGTAAGTAGGGAAAAAATTTGTCTACTCTTTTTCTGTCCCTGGAGGAAAGAAGACAGCTGTCTCCACTTACCACCCAGAGAAAAAGCAGACCTGTCCACCCATTCACTGCCTGTGTGTTTCTCACCTGAGTTCTTTCTGTCTTCTGTCTTCTGTGTTCTTCCTACTCTAGCCATCCACCATCACGAAAAACAACACAGCAGCAAGAGGGAAAACAGCCAGGGGAACCACAGCAGCACAGACATCCCCCTGTGATGCCCTAGAGGCCGCCATAAGATGGGTTTTGATTATACCTAGTGGGCCACTTCCTCATAGGACGCTCCTATGCTTACCCTGCCTCCAGCTTCCTGAACACCAAGGGTTCCCCTAGTTCCTCAAAAGAGGTGACAGGGAACATGATGTTCACCCTGTGGTGTCCCACATGGCAGATGAACTTCTGCTCCTCAGGTCCTCTCCAGGACAGATCCAAATGGCCACCTAGATCTGATAGGTCCCATTCCCACTGAGCAAGATGGCACCAGGCCTGTGGGTGCCCAGGTGCAGGGACTCCCCATCCCACAGTCAGGTCAGGGCGGTACCCTAAGGGTAGATGCTAAATACACAGCACCTCTGAGTAACCTTGTCCACCAAGTTCTAACTATGGGTCACAGCCACCAATAGGGACTCTGGGGAAAGACAAGGCAGAACAGTGAGGCTGAGGACTTATCCTTCCCCAGAAGGAGGATTGGAGAAGAGTAAGAGCAGAAACCAATCAGCCCCCTAGAATTTACCCCATGCACATTTACTCTCCCGCCATACTTTATCAGGAGGCCATTTTTCTCAGTGTAGAGAGGATTGTGGGAGGCACACACTTTGATTCAATGGGCACTAGACACTCACTGGATGTCAGGCCCTCATCTCAGCTACAGAGCCTGAGAGAACATGAACTTCCTACTCTCAGGGGCCAAGGGATCAGCCTTCCTACTGGTCCAAGGGTTCTCTGTCACATAGTATAGATGATTTGTAGGCACTGATGGAACAAAGGGGCAACTCTGGTCTACAGGGATTGAGAATTTTCCACAGGTGTGATATATCTCCTTTTGTGACAAAATCAATTCCTTTTGCTGAAGGGGTCAATGGAGGGACTGACCGTGAGGAGTTCAGCTGACCCTGCAGCTCTAATTTTTTTGCCCTAGGCCTACTTTCCCTTTGGGGACCTCTGGGTGATTACAGCTGTTTATACCTTGCCTCCCTCATATACTCCATTATAATCATATGACATTGTTGAATATGCAACTCTTTCTCCAGGGCTAGGATGTTTTCTCCTATCTTATCTCCCAGCCAGGTGGGTACCATCTTAGGGCCTCCATCCAGGAGTTCAGAGCTACATGTCTCCCCTCCTCAAAGTCAAGATCCCAGGGAATGAGGCTGTTGGAGAGGAAAAGTTTCTCACTCCTGCCTTTTTCTGACCTGAGTTGTGAGCTCCATACCCATGTCTGGGACCCCTCCGCTTCTGCCACTGATGGACTGAGCAATGGCTCCAGAGGAGACAACTCATCCACCTACATGGAGGTGGCCTTAGGCTTTGGCATCCTCGCGATAATTCAATCAGAAGTCAATACCTAAACTTAAGGTCAGGGCAGGAGATCCACTCATAGAACAACAGGAAAGTTTTCTTGCATGTAGGGAACCAGGGGCTGATTCAGGGAATGGACCTTCCTGCCTAGAGCCAGTACCTATATTCTCCAGGAGGCCCCTCCAGGAGACCAGGTGTCTCCATAGTTGGGCAGGACAGGTATCACGGAGGAAAACATTAACTGGATCAGCCCTGGGGTCTTGTGCCTCCCAGAGCTTTTTGCTCTGCTGGCTGAGGACTCAGCTACCATCCATGTGAGGGTCTCCAGACAGAAGGCGAGGAAGTCCTGCCCGTTGCAACCAAAGCTCCAGAAGCCTCTGATGCTATAGTCTCCCTGGAGCTCACAGACCAACATGTCCTGGGGTAAGTGCAGGCCTGCCCCAACCCCAGACAATGGTGACCTGCTGTCTCACTGTCACTGAACCTCTACACCCACAAGGGCTCCAGCCCAGAGGGGATATGTCCTCTAGATGCCTCCATCTCTGAAGGAAGGCAGCTGCTTTCCAGCTTGAGATTCGCTTCCTCCGTTTCCACAACTACCCATGATCACATAATTGTACTAAAGTATGCACCCTGGGGGAGGTAGCCTCTCCTGGTGATTTTTAACCCCTATATCATTAATCAGAAACGCTGGTGGTATAGTGGTTGAGAGCTACAGCTGCTAACCAAAAGGTCGGCAGTTCAAATCCACTAGGCTGTCCTTGGAAACCCTATAGGGCAGTTCTACTCTGTCCTGTAGGGTCACTATGAGTCGGAATCAACTTGTCGGCAATGGATTTATATCATTAATCAGAGCCCTGGTAGCGCAGTGGTTAAGAGCTGGGCTGCTAACCAAAAGGCCAGCAGTTCTAATCTACCAGCCGCACCTTGGAAACCCTATAGGGGCAGTTCTACTCTGACCTATAGGGCTACTATGAGTCAGAATTGACTCGATGGCAACAGGTTTGTTTTTTGGTATATCATTAATCAGAAAAAGTCAGCTTACACGATTAATCATGTAGCTAGAAGAGGGGAAGAAATGTTCGTTCTGGTCATGCACCCGTGGTCACAGGACCGCTATGCTGCTTGAGTTTGAACAAAGCTTGGCAAGAGGATGGTCAGGCCAGGTGCAGATGAACAAAGTCCCCTTCCTCTTACCCCTTTCCCTGTTCCCACATACTCTGAGGTATAAAACCCTTAGACCCCTTTGCCTCGTGGTCTTTCACCTGCAACGTAAACTTGGGGCCTTATGTGTGCAGAAGAGTTTCCTGGGTCAACTCATCCTGGGACGGGGTTCTGAGGGAGGTCGACCCCACGATGAACCTTACCGCATTGATCTTCATCCTAACCACCATGTAAGTCAATATCAACACAGTGGCTGCAACAATGGGCTGAAGCATAACAACGATTGTGGGGACAGCGCAGGACCTGGAAGTATTTCGTTCTGTTGTACTTAGGGTCGCTATGAGTCGGAACTGACTTGATGGCACCTAACAACAACAACAAAGTAAATAAAAACTTATAAAACACCACTGAGTAATGTTAGTTCATTACGAAGAGCTACAGCCCTCTACAAGCCCCTTTTATTTCCCCATAAGGCTCATCACACTTTCATCCACCCAGGTGTGGGGCCCCTGGGGCAGTCAGGGAGGTCTCTCCTCTCTGCTGAACTCCAGCCTTGATGTGCCCTATCTTCCCCTCAGCTTCCCCAAACCATCCCCACCCCAGCCAACTCTGTTGTTGTTGCTGTCGTTTGGTGCCGTTGAGCCGACTTCGACTCATAGCGACCCCATGTGACAGAGAACTGCCCCATAGGGTTTTCTAGGCTGTAATCTTTAGAGAAACAGATTGCCAGGTCTTTTTCCTGCGGAGTCACTAGGTGGGTTCAAACAGCCAACGTTTTGGTTAGCACCTGAGCACTTAACTGTTGTGCCACTAGGTTGTCACTGTCTAGGGACCAGTCAGCTGCCTCCACTTAACCTAATGCTCTGTGAGGACAGGCACCAAGGCTGCTTTGCTCGCCGTCACGTCCCCAGTGGTTGGGGACTCTGTGTCTTCCCACAACCAAAGGATGTTCAGGGTCTCATGGGGTATCAGAATATATTCTAACCTCTGTTGGGTGTATTCTCTCACCCTAATTCCCTTGATGCAGAGAAGGACTGGACACGAGGCTCCACTGCAGGTCACTTATACAGTCTGGGCTTTTTACTTTGTGTAACTGATGACTCCAGGTTGGTGGGCCTTATCCATGTCTGCAGAAGCTCTGCCCGGGCCACACTTCCTCTTTTCCAATAACAAGTCTCCTCCTTACACAGGCATGTGATGGACACAGCAGGTGTTCCTGATGTCAGAGAGGGGGTGTGTGGCCTCTGAGCATGAGGGAGGTTGCGTGGTGGGGGTAGGGTGGGGAGATGAATGAGGATTTCTGTAAAAGACACAAATGGAGTGGAGAGAGGATTTACCCAAAGCCTCATGGGGACTTCTGTATTTCTCCCAAACATGCCGATATGATTTCTGGGAGGTATATGTTGGGGCTCAAGAACAACTCCCTGATATGTCTTGAAAGGACTGATCCTTACTCTCCTGGAACTTGAGAAGGAGGTAAAGGAGGGAAGAATTGTCTTCGCTTGATCCTACCTAAGTCTTCCTTCCCAGCATCCCACCCAGAAACGACTGTGACAATTTTATTCACTGAAATTTAAAAAGTGATGATGAGGCTAAATATGAGTGACATCTGAAACCAGGACACATAGTCTAAGGAAAATGAGAGGGAATTGGGAAGAGGACAGGAAGGGAAGAAGAGGAAAGAGGTGAGCCCAGAGACACCTATGGGGCAGGTTAAACAAGAGCTGAGTCTGAATTCTAATTCCTACAGGCCCATCTCTCCCATCCACTCACCCTCTCTAGCCTGTTAGATATGAATGTAAAGACCAGTTCCAAGTTATACTGGACTCTCTGGTCCAGCCAATGGGGCTGAATTCAAATTTGTACATATCCAATTATTTTTAAAATAACCCAGAGAATCAGATTTGTGGCCACTTAAAACCTGCCTGCTTAACATACCCTATGAACACCCCCGCAACATCTACTAGCCATAGATAAGATAAAACCCTGTAGTCATGGCCCCAAATGCTGCTGTCCTTTGGAGTTCTCTGACTCAGATTCCCCACCTTGCTGCAGAAAGATATCACCTAGGCATACGTGATCCCTCCTCCTTCTCCTCTTCCCCAGGAGTTTCCCTGTGCTCTTCCCCTTGTGGTTGACTCCCTGTACCACTGGCCTCTGGCAGACCTCCTACTATGGTGAGTCACCCCCAGCATGTGGCTATCAATGTGTCTGCCCCAATAAATAGCTTTTTGTGCAACACTCCTATCTCACGGCCATATCGTTTTCCTTCATGAGTTCCGAACTCCCTCAAACTCACTACAGCAGGTACAGGTGGAATCACAGGTAAGACCAACTGGGATGGGGAGAGGGAAAGAAGGCATCTTTAGGAGGGTGAATGGAGTACACCTCGGACCACAGCATGGGTGCTGTCTTGCTTCCCTAGGACTAACACAAACTCTGTGTCTCCCACACACCCCCACAGGCTAAGGGCCCATGTGTGGGGATAATATTTAGAACTTCTTGGAGCAGTGTTGTGATGAAGAGACCATCCTGCCCTGAACCAGACCCTCCTGAGTCTTATGTCCCTCAGAAAAAAATTGTTGTGAAGTTGAAAATTCAGAACATAAAGTCTGTCCTTGCCCATCTCCAGCATCTTTACCAAATGAAGACCCTGGTCCCCCAAAGAGGGAACAGGAAGAGAAGAGAGTGGGAGGGAGGACACCTAGATGCCTCCCCGGAGCCTAGCAACACTGGAATTCTAAGGTATAAGGAGGAATACGAGGTATTGTTCTGTAATAAAGCAGTATTAAGACACCTGTCTTACAGTGCGATGAGGTTAAATCTCTTCTTTCTAGATTTCTTGGATTCAAAAAGCTGGATAGTTATCAAAGAGGAACTTTTCTCGGCTTTTGTGGAAAAGACAAGCATCTAGTCAGTGAATTCAGCAGTACAGGTAGGAGCACAGGGCCCTGATTCTCATCCATGACCACCACCTTATTCAGGGTCCCCGTCAACTTCTAACCGGATTTCTGTGTTTGGTTTCCTAAGTTAGGACTGTGGCCTTCTATAGAAAGTGATCTGGCTGCCTTTTCCCCCAATTCACTCAGGCACTCGATGGGCCCATTCTGCCTCTGTTGTTCTTGTTAGTTGCTATTGAGTCGATCCCAACTCATAACGACCCCATGTGTGCAGAGTACAACTGCTCCATTGGGATTTCAAGGCCGTGACCTTTCAGAAGCAGCTCACCAGGCCCATCTTCCCAGGTGCCTCTAGTTGGTTCGAACTGCTAGTAGTCAAGCACTTAATCAGGCCTGCCTCTCCATGCAGTAGTTCCGCATATAAAAAACAACGCCACCCAGGGACCCCTCCTACTTCGCCTCTACCCTAGACAAAAAGGGCCTCCCAATACACTCTTGCTTCTGAGCCATTTGGCTTCCACAAAGAACAAGGCAGACCTGGATTCTCTACCGGCCCAGAACTAAAACAATTTCCAAGGCCAACTCTTCAGACAAAGATTGGACTGGACTGTGGGACATAAAGCAATACTTGTGAGGAGTGTGCCTCTTAGCTCAAGTAGATACAAGAGACCAAAGGGGTAGCTTCTGTCCAGAGGTGAGATGGGAAGGCAGAGAGGGTTAGGAGCTGGTTGAATGGACATGGGGAATCAGGGGTGGAAAGGAGGAGTGTGCTGTCACAGCATGGGGCGAGCAATTTGGGTCACATAACAATGTATGTACAAGGTTTTGTATGGGAGACTAACTTGAAATGTAAACTTCATTTAAACTACAACAATAAAAAAAAGAGAGGGGGGAAAAAAAAAAAAAGAACAAGGCAGAGCAGTCCCAGCCCACTTCTCATCAAGAGAAAGAGTCACAAGGGGAAAGTCCTGCAGGGCTGAGGCCTGAGTCACCTGTCAGGATTCAGACCACCCCTAGGTGTGGACAGGTGTCCCAGGTGCCCCCCGCCTGGGATCTGCACCTCCTCAGTCAGCCTGAGCAGTCTGCCTCCTTGAGTTCCGAGTCCTTCTGTCAACATGTGGGAAAGGTGGGAGGCTGGAGAGAGAAATGTCCTCTCCAAGGGGTGTAGGTAGCCCAAGGCACCCAGCCCCGTGGTGGTTCCTGCACCTGCTGCTGTCTCGGGGTGGGTGGGTAGCTGCCCTCGAGACACTGGAGGGGTGGAAGGATTGAGGAATCTCTGCCTCACTAAAGGCCAGACTGTTACTCTGGGCCCCTGTTCAGCCTCAAGCACTCCCCAGAAACTCACATTTCTAGTAATTATTTTGATGATCTAATGTCTGTGATTATATCATCTTTTTATTCTCCTGTGGCTTCATTATGATAAACTGTGAATTGGTAGTTTTTGAGATACACACTTATGAGTATATGGTTACCATTTTTAAGTCAGAGCTTAGTGCTTGATCTGATTTTGGTCCTCTTCAAAATGAAGACAATCCGAAGAGATTTGTAGGGTCCTGGAGTGGTGGGGGTAGACCTGGTGGCATACTGGTTAGGCAATTGGCTGCTAACCAAAAGATCGGCAGTTCGAATCCACCAACCGCTCCTTGGAAACCCTATGGGGCAGTTCTACTCTGTCCTATAGGGTCATTAGGAGTCAGAATCAACTCGAAGGCAATGGGTTTGGTTTTTCGGTTTGGAGTTGTGGGGAGGGGTAGCCCCGGCCTTTGACATCTAACATCCCAGCTCAGATCCTGTCTCCCTTCTGTCTATTCACCAGCTCAAAGCCTGGTCCAGTGGAATGACGACCAGTAGCTGCAGCCTGGGTAAGTAGGACCCTACCCTGGTCTTCCCCAGGCTGCTCAGACCCTCCCCCTCCTGCAAACTCAGTTGTAACTCTCCCCACAGCCCACCCCACAGCCAGCATCTGCCAAGTGCCTACAACCTGCTCCTGTGCCTCTTCTCTCCAGGCCTCTCCCTTTTCTCCCCGCTTCTCTTCATCTCTCCCTGTCTCTTCTTCCTCCATCTCCACATCCCATCCTCTCTACTTGCCATTCTGCCTTCTCCTCCCCCATTTCCTTGTTTCTCCCAATTTCTCTCTGACTTGAATCTTCTGTCTCTTTTCTCTTCTCTTCCTCCTGCCTCTCCTTGCCTCTCCCACTCTCTTCTCTACTGTACACTCCCCATCGCATGCCTGCCCAACCAGTGCTTTTACAGAACCACAGTTAAGATCCTCTCTCTCTCACCCTCCGAGTCACAAGCCCAACCAGGAGAATGGTGACCAGCAGCTACTTGTTGAGTAAGAAGGACCCCAAACCAGCCCATCTCCAGACTTCTTAGATTCTTCCCTTCCTGCAGGTCCAACCGTGCCTATCCCCTGCTCTCCCTACACACAACATACAGCGTCTTCCCAGTCACCGCCACCTCCCCTCTATTCAGAGAGCGTCTCTTCATCTCACTGCAGTCTCTTCACCACTGAAAACTTAGCTACACAACCTAATGCTCAACTCATTTCAGGACATCACTGATTTCTCTCAATTACCAGGGATGCAATCTCCTAGGCACCACACCTCATACACCCCTGAGGTGCTGAATCTCACGCCAAAACAGCTCCAAACCTCTCCTGAATCTTAGCCAGAACCAAATCCAACCAAATGCTCTCCTGCCTTCCTAGAAGTTGTCCCTCCCAGCCTCATCCTCTTTGCCCTTCCTCCTTCACAGCTGCTGTTGGCATCCTCACCCTTCTGTGGGCAGGTACAGGTGTGATCACAGGTGAGGAGAGTGGGAGTGAGGGGAAAGGAGGCATCTCTGGGGAGGGGGAGGGGATTCACATGGACCACAGCATGGGTGCTGTCTTGCTTTCTTGGGACCAACACAAACTCTGTGTCTCCCAGCTGATCCACCTGAATCAGCGCTGTGGCTGTGCGAGCAGGCGCCCAGATGTGGGGGCCGGATCTATAATCCCTTGGAACGCTGCTGTGATTATGGGATCATTGAGCCCCTGAACCTGACCCGCCACTGTGGCCCCAGGTGCACCTTCTGGCCTTGCTTTGAGCTCTGCTGTCCTGAGTCATATAATTCCCAGAGAGTGTATGTTGTGAGGTTGAAGGTTCGGGGTGCAAAGTCCCGGTGCACCTCCTCACCCATCTCCAGGTTCTGTAAAAAGTAAAGACCCTGCCTTACTCAAGGTGAGAACAGGAAGAGGGGGTGTGGCAGGGAAGGGATCTGGATGTCGGGTCCCTGTGGGATGGGGACCGCAAGCCCTGCATGCCCCACTCCCCCTCCGTGTCTGCATCTCTCTAGTTGCTGAGTTTCGGTCTCCCTCATTTTCTGCAGCTGAAGATGGACAGCCACACCACCTACTGATGTTGCCTCCCTGGAGTCTGGTGGCACTGGGATTCTAAGATATAAGTAGTAATGGGTGTCATGGCTCTGTAACAAAGCAACAATAAAACACATGTCCTAGAGGATGGTGAGGCTGAACATGTTCTCTCTGCATTTCCTTACAGTAGATTGCTGAATAATTATCAAAGGGGAGATTTTTCTGCTTTTGTGGGATAGATAAGCATTTAGTCAATAAATCTGGCTATGAAGGTAAGGCACAAGGCCCTGACTCTCATCCTTTCCCTCCACCTTATTCAGGGTCCCTGTGAACTTCCTATTGGGTTTTCTGTGATTCTTTTGTTTCCTGGATTAGGGCTGTGACCTTCTATGGAAAATTAGCTGCCTCGCATTGGCCTCAACACACTCTGCTCTGCCTGAGTCCCCATATGCTTGTACCCTAGGACAAAAAGGGCCTGGAGATCTCACATGCCCAGTGGAGGCAGGGGCACAGGACTTTGTTTGATAAAGAGTTTGGATGGCCTTTGTGCTGGTTCCTAGGAGATAACACTAAATCTGTGTTATAAAGAATTTGGCTGGTCTTTCTCCCAGGTTCCTGGGAGGTAACATCTAAATCTTGGGTTTTCCTGAGTGACTAGAGTGACTTTATTATTCAAGTTGGGCCCTTTAGGCCACACTTGATAGTTTACACTACCCAGGTGACTCATGATTGGACCCTGGATAGTTTTCGCTAAGGAGATGACTCAGGATGGAGGACTGTTACACCGGAAAGACCAACTATATTATTAGAAGGTTGGAACTTTGATCCACATGATATTTAACCCAACCTATGCAAACGGCAGGGGGGCTGGAGATTGAGTTCAATCACAATGCCAAAGATTCAATCAATCATACCTATGTAATGAAGCCTCAATAAAGACTCTGCCAACAGAAGCTCGAGTGAGCTTCCATGGTTGGCAATATTCTGTATATTGTCACACATTAATGTGGTGGAAGAGCGATAGTGATGTCTTGTGACTCTTCAGGGTGAAGATAATGGAAGCTTTTTTATGTGTGACTCTCCTAGACCTTGCTCTGTTTGTATCTCTCTTTGACTATTTGATTTTGTATTAATTTCCTATAGTAAACCTATAATCATAAGTATAGGGCTTTTCTGTGTTCTGTGTGTCATTCTAGAGAATTATCAAGCTTCAGGGAGTTGTGGGAGCCCCTAATTTTCTGCTGGCTGATTGTAGAGTGGCCCTGAAGGCCTCTGAATTGTTGCTGGTGTCTGAAGTGAGTGCAGTCTTGTGGAAGACTGTGTCCTTAACCTGTGAAGTTTGGCCTAATTCCAGGTAGTTGGTGTCAGAAGTGATTGCAGTTGGTATCAGAGCAAGATTTGCTAGAACAACCCTGACTCACTGAAATATGAGGTTTGGAATAAGAAACAATGAAAGGCAAAGGATGAGGAATCTGATTCCTGGGTGTCCACCGGGGCATCCATATTATGGAAAAGCAGGTGCGCTGCAGTCACTGGAGGTAAAAGTTACCTATAGAACCAGGGCAAAGTCATAGAAGTTTCACAGACACATCCAAAAGCCCTGAGGGACCGAGCTACTGGGCTGAAGGCCATGGTCTCTCAGGGGACATCTAGCCCAACTGGCATAACAGTCTATAATGAAAATGTGACTGTGGTGAGTAGTGTCTAGGGTCTTAAAAGCCTGTGAGCAGCCATCTAACATACATCTACCGGCCCCATCCCAGCTGGAGAAAAGGAGAATGAAGAAAACCAAAGGCACAAGGGAAAGATTAGTCCAAAGGACTAATGGACCACAAGCTCGACCAGACTGAGCCCGGAACAACTAGATGGTACCTGGTCATCACCACAGACTGCTCTGGCAGGGATCACAATAGAGGGTTCCGGACAGAGTGGGAGAAAAATGTAGAAAAAATTCAAATGTGCACACACACACACACACACACACACACATGCACACAAAATATAGGCTTGCTGGTCTGGCAGAGACTGGAGAAACCCTGAGAGTATGGCCCCCCAGACACCCTTTTAACTCCATACTGAAGTCACTCCTGAAGTTCATCCTTCAGCCAAAGACTAGACGGGTCTAGAAGACCAACAATAACACCCATGAGGAATGTGCTTCATAGTTCAATTCATGTATATGAGACTAATGGTCAACCAGCCCAAAAGCAAATATGAGAAGGCAGGAAAGGATAGGAAAACTAGATGAATGGAAACAGAGAAACTGTGGTGGAGAAGGGGAGATTGCTGACACACCATGGGTTGGCTTACTGGATGCATAAGAAAATTCAAAGAAACAAGGAAAAAGCAAAATATTTAGACCCTGGCTTGCCAGAAGTACATCCTTTAACTTAGCGCCATTTCCAAAGAGAAACATTATGCCGAAACAGCAAACAGCAAAGAGGCCTGAACTGATTCCTAAGAGAAGAGGAGAAAGTAAAAGAGGAGATTCAAGGAATCATTCCTGCAGAGAGGAAATTTTTAATCAGTTATTAAGGAATCGGATGAGTAAAGCAAACATCAATGTTACAAAACAAAGAATACAGAGAAAGGGGAGAATCAAAGCGCTCATCCCAGCAGGGTGGAGATCTTTAATGGGTTATTAAGAAATGAGACAAATAAAGCAGACATTAATGGGATCATAAAAAGTTCTTAATACAGTACTCTTGGAGTTTGGGTGGACCAGTGGAAGCCCCTATAGGTACCATAATATTAAAGGGTCCTAAACCTGCTTTATTCACTCTAGTTTGGAGGAATTCAAGAATCTTATCCTCCAGTCAATGGGTGTTGCTCCCACAATCTGATCAGTACAGAATTTACCTTCACAGCACTCGTCATTGCTTCCTGTAGGTCTGGGCTCAAATCAGACATCATTTTCCTTCACCCTAAAGAACTTCCTTTAGCATATCTTGTAGTATGTATCTGCTGGCAACAATTTCCCCATCTTTTGTGTGCCTGAAGATGTATTTATTTTGCCTTCATTTTTTGAAGGGTATTTTCATTTATAGAGTTCTAGGTTAACTTTTTTTTTCTCTTTAAATTTTACTTAGTCTTGTTGTGCTTTCTTGGAGTGCATTCGTAATTTACTCGTTATATTGGTATTTTGACATTTTGTTGTGTGGAGCAAGAAAAGGGTCAAAGTTCTTTGTTCCTGTCTTAGTTAGCTAGTGCTGCTGTAACAGAAATACCACAGGTGGATGCTTTAACAAAGAGAAATTTATTCTCTCACAGTCTAGTAGGCTACAAGTCCAAATTCAGGGTGTCAGTTCCAGGGGAAGGCTTTCTCTCTGTGTCAGCTCTGGAGGAAGGTCCTTGTCATCAATCTTCCCCTGGTCGAGGAGCTTTTCAGGTGCAGGGACCCTGGGTCCAAAGGATGCACTCTGCTCCCAGCAAGGCTTTCTTGGTGGTATGAGGTCCCCATGTCTCTCTGCTCACTTCTCTCTTTTATATCTCAAAAGAGATTGGCTTAACACACTACCTAATCTTGTAGAGCTCATCAATATAACTGCCATTAATCCATCTTATTATATCATAGTGTTAGAGTTTACAACACATAGGAAAAGCACATAAGATCACAAAATGGTGGACAACCACACAATACTGGGAATCATGGCCTAGACAGTTGACACATACTTTTGGGGGGTACAATTCAATCCATGACAGTTTCATATTCCTTTTAGATATCCAATTGTTCCAGAAATATTTGTTAAAAATACTTTAATTTTCTCATTGTACTGACTTGGCAACTTGACCAAAAATCAATTGACCCATGTACATATGGGCCAATTTCTGGACATTTGTAAAATGGTGGCAGTAGTAGTATCCAAACCTAACTTCAGGGGGCAGGGGGAGGTAATGAGAATCACCATTAGCACAAAGCTGATTCTCATGAGGTGGAGGTCAGACATACCTCCACTCTCTGACCTTTTTACCCATTCTGGCACGAGCCATCCGTCCCATAGCACTCTCTACTTCTCTTCCGGGTTTAATAATTTGTTGCAGTGGTCACACAGAACTCACGGAGCATACTCACAGTTAAGAGTTTTACTAAGGAAGTAGCAGGGTACAACTCAGAATCAGATTAACAGGCTACAACTCAGGATCAGGAGCAGGAAGCATGCAGGCAAAGTCTCCCTTCTTCAGTGCATGACAGCTCTCTCAGCTTTTCTCAACTATTCAGGCCTCTTACTTGGCCTGTTGCCACCAGCTCTGCCACTGGGTCCCTTCGGGGCCTCTAGCTGTTTTCAGTGTTGCAACCCTTGACCAGTGTTATGGCTCTTTTAAGAGTTCTTTGTCTCCTTTCTCTCTCTGCTTCTTCTTTCTTCCTTCTGCTTCTTCCTGCTGCTTCTCTTCCTGCTTTTTTCTGTCTGAAAAACCTCTGTGGGGCTGGCTGCTTAAATACACAAACTCCTTGTCAGTTTCAAGGCATGGCCCTCCCACCAGGGCCACGAACTGATCAATCCCCTCTTGGTAAGCCACAGACACTTCATTTGCATAACAGGCTACAACCTCCTTTATTTGCATAGTCTATTGACCAATCCCTGCAAGTTGCATGCCAATCATAGGGCAGGCTGAGCCCAGGACCAGACAAAAAGTATCAAAACCAGGTTGTTTACAGCTTACCCAGGAAATGTCCATCAACCTAGACAAAAGTAACAAGCCCTCTGGGGTAAAACACCAAGGCAAAAGTAACTCCTCAGGACTTAGGGGAAAAATCTCTCAAGCTGTTTTTCCAAAGAACCAAGGCAAAAGGCCACATAAAGGACCTCATTTCACCACAACATTCTATTGATTTATTCGTCTA